ATTTATTCCTCTCCACTGAAACTCTCCCACCCCCTTCAGCTTTGTTTCACTTAAAGCCAGGACATCCAGCTTCTTCTCATTCATAACATCCACAGTCTTCTCTTTCTTATCATTTGCACAACATCCACGCACATTGACTTCCCACTTTGACAATTTTCTTCTTCATTTTAGTAATTATTACAGGAAAAGGGTTACTAGCCCATTGTTCCCGGCATTTTAGTTGACTTTTACAACACGCATGGCTTACGGAGGAAAGATTCTTATTCCACTTCCCCATGTATATAAAAGGAAAAGTAATAAGACCAAGAACTATTAAGATAAAATCAAAGAAAACTCAGACAAGTGTGTATAAATAAACATGTACATGTATGTGTAGTGTGACCTAAGTATCAGTAGAAGTATCAAGACGTACCTGTAATCTTGCATATTTATGAGACAGACAAAAGACACCAGCAATCCTACAATCATGTAAAACAATTACAGGCTTTCTTTTCACACTCACTTGGCAGGATGGTAGTACCCCTCTGGGTGGTTGCTGTCTACCAACCTACTACCTATACATTTATTAAACAAAAATACCAACCACTCCAACACTATGTCCCCCCCCTGCTTTTAACATTTCTGTCATGATCCCATCAGTTCCAGCTGCTTTAACCCCTTTCATTCTACGTAATGCCTCACGCACCTCCCCCACACTCACATCCTGCTCTTCTTCACTCCTAAAAGATGATATACCTCCCTAGCCAGTGCATGAAATTACCGCCTCCCTTTCTTCGTCGACATTGAAAAGTTCCTCAAAACATCCTTGCCATCTACCCAAAACCTCCATCTCTCCATCTACTAACTCCCCTTCTCTGTTTTTAACTGATAAATCCATTTGTTCCCTAGGCTTTCTTAACTTGTTTAACTCACTCCAAAATTTTTTCTTATTTCCATTAAAATTCCTTGACAGTACCTCTCCCACTCTATCATCCGCTCTCCTTTTGCACTCTCTCACCACTCTCTTCACCTTTCTTTTACTCTCCATATACTCTACTCTTCTTATAACACTTCTGCTTTATGAATTTGTAAATTTACAGATATGCTGAAATAAACATTGAAGATGAAGTTGCAAGTACAATTTACCCAGTAGATTTTACCCATAATTTTAGATTCGTTGTATCGGGGTCTGTTATATCAAGGGTTTATTATAGTATGTATTTTTTGTGCAGAACTATTTTCCAGACTATATCTTAAATGCTTACATGCAACATCGTGAAACTTCAAACACTTGTGTGCCTTCCCAAAAAATGAAGGTAATGATGAAAACTTACATCATCTCATGACACTGAAAGTCTCTATTAGCCATCCTGATGTTATTTTTCAACCTCTGAGTTAATAATTATATGTTTTGTAGTGTATAACTGCATAATTTCTTTGTACATTTCCATCACACATTTTGTATACCAGTATACGTTTTAGAGTAACTAAGAACACATAATGTCCTGCAACTTAAACAGAGAACATAGGGTTCCTGGAGATTTGTATTTAGTGACATTGTGACCTGCACTGCCATACATTAACTGCCTGTTTGCGTAATTTTGTCATTGGTGATTAAATATTTGTAAATACTGTAGGTAAATTAAGGCTAGGTTAGATTAACTTAACCTAGAAAAACTAATTTTTGTGGTTTTTTAAATTTTGCAGATCTTGACATATTTTAACATGAGTAAACAAACCCTTTATTTGGAGAACGGGTTGAGGTACATATGTCATGCAACATATTTTGGAGGAATTACATACATATCAAGAATGACCTTTATTGTACAGTATTTTTGGGAGCATACACAAATAACCCGCACATAAAAGACAGAAGCTTACGACGACGTTTCGGTCCGACTTGGACCATTGACAAAGTCACACTGTTACCGTTGAGTGTGACTTTGTCAATGGTCCAAGTCGGACCGAAACGTCGTCGTAAGCTTCTGTCTTTTATGTGCGGGTTATTTGTGTATCGTTCCAGTCACGGTATTGTGCCTTTTTGTTATTTATTTTTGGGAGCATTAGTAGTCGCTGAACCTTTCCTTAGTTTGGTTATCAGTTTGAGTTGCATTCCATTTATATTGTATTTTTAAGGTACAGTATATAAATGAAGGAAATTAAATGTGAACATAAGAAAGAGTAAGGTGATGAGGATAACACAAATTTTAGATAATGAAAGATTGGATATCAGATTGGAGAGAGGAAATATGGAGGAAGTGAGTATATTCAAATATCTGGGAGTGGACTTGTTAGCAGATGAGTTTATGAAAGATGAGGTGAACCATAGAATTAATGAGAGGAAAAAGGTGAGTGGTGCATTGAGGAGTCTGGAGACAAATAACATTATCCATGGAAGCAAAGAGGGGAATGTTTGAGAATATAGTGGTACCAATACAGTATTCTTCTATGGGCATGAAGCATATTCAATACACTAAACCTACTCACCATACAAAACATCCATACTTATTACTGCACCTATTACATACATAGAACACTTAACTCTGATATTAACCCTCCCCTCAAACATCTCCTTGCCAACCTCAACAGAACACATGACCATAACACAAGGCACAGATCACTCTTTGATGTTCCTCGTGTCCATCTCACACTATGCAAAAACTCAATGCACATAAAAGGCCCTAAAATCTGGAATTCATTACCTGTAAATATAAAAGAAACACAACCTGTTTATAAATTCAAGTCTCTTCTCAAAGATTACTTACTCACCCAAAACCAAATAAATACTGAATAACTGAACATTATAAATTGTATATCTTAAATGTTTCTCACAATTATATCACATAAATGTTAAACCTAAAACCCAATCTAACTTTATTATTTTTTAAATACACTACCTAACAGAATCACTACCTAACTGAATGCAACCATATGACCTGTCTTTGTAATACTCACTTGTGCTTTATAGTTATCTGTTTACATTAATGTTTTATCACTGATTTCATCATTGCTTAGTAGCAGCGCTGTATAGTCCTTGTGGCTTAGCGCTTCTTTTTGATTATAATAATAATAATAATCATTGCTTAGTTAATCTTAAGTTAATTTTAAGCCAGCCCGTAATGCTATGCATAGTATAAGTGGCTTTGGCATACTGCTCTTATCTGTATTTTTTTTGTACCTCTGTATGTGTGCACAAATTGGAAATAAATAAATAAATAAATAAATAAATAAATGGGTAGTGAATATTGCAACAAGAAGGCTGGAGGCAGTGGAGATGTCGTGCTTGAAGGTCAGTGTGTGGTGTGAGTGTAATGCAGAGAATCCATAGCTTGGGGATTAGAAGGAGGCATGGGGTTTCTAAAAGTATTACCCAGAGGGCTGAGGAGGGGTTGTTGAGTTAGTTTGAACATTTAGAAAGGATGGAATGAAGTTGAATGACTTGGAAGGCATATAAAACTGTAGTGGAAGGAAGGCGGGGTAGAAATCATCCTAGGAGAGGTTGGAGGGAGGGAGTAAAAGAGGTTTTCTGTGTGAGGGGCTTAGACTTCCAACAAGCACGCATGTGTTAGATAGGAGCGTGTTGAGACAAATGGTTTTTATGACTTGATGTTTCTGCTGGAGTGTGAACACGGTAACATTTATGAAGGGATTCAGTGAAACCAGTTAGCTGGACTTGAGTCCTAGAGGTGGGAAGTGCCTGCACTCTGAAAGAGGGGTGGAGATATGTTGCAATTTTTTAACTGTAGTGTAGGCAAGCCTCTGGCAAGACAGTGATCGAGTGAGTGAAGATGAAAGCGTTTCTTATTTTTCGGGTCACCCTGCCTCAGTAGGAAACGGCTGACATGTTAATGATAAAAAATATTTTCTTCATTGTTGCTAAGTTATTCTATGTGTAAGAAAATTGTCACTATAGATTTTTAGAAAATTTAAAGATCATTTTCTTCTCTTTTTATGGTAAAAGTGTATAATTCTGTAGTACAGTATTTGTACAGCATACTGTATTTGGAGGTTTTATCTGCATTTTCACTAACCCTAAGTTGATTAACAAAATTTGTAGATTATTGAGGTTGCATTTGCATTGCATATACAGGAGGGGCCCCTGTTATGCAGCAAGTTAGGATCCGGGCGACTTCTGTAAAGCGAAATTCACTGTGAAGTGAAACATAGTCTTTTTTCACTTTCAAATGCATAACATGTTTACACTATCATATATTAAGTGAGCAGTAGAGCTAGGCCCAAAAAATACATATGCAGTACACATTTTACTTTTTTTTTTTCAACAAACTGGTCATATCCCACTGAGGCAGGGTGACCTAAAGAGGAAAACGAAAAATTTTCTTTTTGAAGTTAGTAATTTATACAGAAGAAGGGGTTACTAGCCCCTTTCTCCCAACATTTTAGTCACCTCTTATGACACACATGGCTTATGGAGGAAGAATTCTTTTCATTTTGCCATGGAGATAAGAGGAAATAAAGAACAACAAGTACGTAGTAAGAAAATAGACGAAAACCCAGTTGGGTGTGTAAATATATATGCATGTACAGGCATATGTAGTGTGACATAGTGTAAGTAGAAGTAGTAAGATATACCTGTTATCTTTTGGTTTATGAGACACAAAAAGACTTCAGCAACCCTGCTATCATGTAAAGCAATTACAGGTTTCCGTTTCACACTCACTTGGGTGGTTGCTGTCTACCAACCTACTGTCTAGGATGCATTGCTTACCTTAAAATATTTATGTCCTTAGCTTATGGTGAGTGGTGAATTTATTTATTGTAGGAAGTCTGAATAAATGAAAAATGGGTATAATTGAAAACTGCTGCATTAGCGAATTGATGAAAAAGCAAAGTGCTGTAAAGTAGAACCTGCCCATACAGTATCCAGGTTTTTATTACATTTTAAACATATAGGTGATTAGCAAAATATAAGTCTGTATTGTTATTTTATGCAGTTCTATTTTAAATTAATTCTCTATTAAAGTTTAAGATAGCTGAACTTGCTATAAATATTTTCTTCTCAGGGCATATAAATCTGAGTATCGCAAGAAGTTCCGTCCATTCTCACAGTACCAATATGTGGACGGTAGATTCCATAAAGTAAAGACTGACGATTCATCAACATCAGCAACAGCAGCAGCAACAGGAAGTGGAGGTGGTGGCGGTGGCGGAAGCGAGTCTCCAAACAATTGGTACAAGGAGGTTATTGAGCTTCGCCGCCAGGCTGGGCAGTATCGGGTATGTACTGTGTGAGGGTGTGGTTATGCATTAGAATTTAATTAATTTTTCTCCATAAACTGCCCCAAATAGATTCTAATGTATTGTAAAATTGTGTTTTATAACATATTACACAATATTATATTCAGTATTATAGTAATGAGTTCCAGGATAAGTAATTTTCTTTCCTGTAGCCATTTTTTTTATTGGCCTTTGAATGGTACTGTGTGTTTTTAAGAAGTGGCTTCTCTTAAAGATGTTTTTATTTCAACATTTAGTTAATGTTCACAATTTCATAAATGATTAGCTGTGTGTAAATTCAAGGTAGCTCTCAAGATTAATTATCTGAAAATATTGCTTTATGTTAGGCTGTGAACTAATTCATGTCTTGCCAAACTATGTAGTCCCACCCTGATGTGATTTACATTTTTCTTTTATCTTGGATTGCTGATAAGAATTAAAAGAAATCCAATAATCTATACCATCACTGCACGATTTTTACTCATGGTAATGTATGGAAATCATAGAAAGGATTTCCTGCATTTCATAGTGCATAAAAGTGAAAGTCTACTAAATATTAGAAGAAAATATACAGTACATAATATTGGAAGTGCAGTTAAAAAAATCTTATTAAAATGGGAACTTTAATTGCATACCAGATGTCACAAATTTCTCCTTTTTTATTGCATTATTCAATAGGTGTACAGATTACATGGAAATTTACAGTAAATTACACTAACAACTCAAAGTCTAACACCATTTCATGCGAGTTTGCATCTATGAGAAAAAATGCTTTTAATAATTTATGATTGTATAAATCTTGAGAGAGGATGAAATACAAGTAAACATTTTATGAGTACATGAGTCACTTTCTGTGAGTCGCACCGTTTTATTGTGTTTTTAACTTTTTTAATACGCACTTGACCTGATTCTACAGTGAAAGTTACATATGACATAGGCCCTTTGGTATATGAAAAGTATTTTTGCCGTTTCTCATTTGGACAGAAATGCACTTTGCTGAACTTTAGCACAGCTATCTAACTGATCTTAAATAAAACTATTTAAGATTACTTATTTTGCCTTTTTTTAAATATTTACAATAATTTAAATGTTCATCTTGTGCTGGTGGTCTCTTTAAATCAATAAATAAAATGTAAGTACAGTAATTGGTTTTATGATGGAGAATAATGAGGTCACATGAAATGTAGTTGGTCTCAACAATTTAGTACAGCACTAGAAACTTCATTAATGTGACTCTTTTTATTGCCTCATGTCTACTTTTTCACTAATTCACCTTTTGGTTTGATGATTTCTTTAAGGTACTTCTTTGTACAGCTGATCCATTATTTTCAGAGTTTTATGTATTCACTCCCTGCATCGGCGTTAAGTTATAATTGTTGTGCTTTGGTTTGGTTTGGTCTTTTTTTAGCCAGAAGTAAAGGGTAAACATCAGAAATCAGTTTAATTATATGATTAAGGTTTTACAGTGGTTATTTTTTTATTAAATAAAAATTTGGATGCCATATGCATTTTATACATGTTATAAAAAGCTTTGTTTTGTGTAACTTGACACATTCATGTATAATTATTTTTGTATTTTATTTTTGTTTCACACTGGACAAAACAAAATTAACCTTTAATTAGTTTGCTAAAGATCATGGAAAATTGTATTTTCTGTATTAATTTGTCTTGTATAATTTTTTAATTTATTATTTATAATGTTCAAAAATTAGACATGGGCAGATAATATACATGAAAGTTAGAAACATCAATTTTTGTTTCAATTTCCCCAGAATTAGTTTATTAAGAACAATAAGAGATTTATTTTTACCTTGTTTGCAATTTGCTATATTGTTGGGATAAAAAGCCACTCCCCAGCCACCTTAGGAATTAGCATAACCTCGCCGCTCCCTCCTCTCTCCCCAGGCGAGGCACGATATTGGTGACGTGTGGCGGACAGTGCAGGTGTGTGGATTGGGTCCTGCAGGCTTGTGGCTGACCATTTCTATTTTCTCTAAAGTTGTTTCCTTTCCAAATATCCAGATTTATTTGCTTTACTTTAACCGTATTAGTTTTTTAATGGCGTTACCGTGATAGCAGAAACAGTACTGGTGTTTTCACTTCGTCAGTTTATGAATCAAACCTTTACTGGCATTCAGTATTTGGCAGAGAACCTGGGGATCATCATGTAACTATTGCTCATTAAAATGTGCATTATTTGCAATTTTTTTCCCAGTCTGCAACCAGTTCTGTTTAGTCTTATTTCAGTACAGCATTTGTTTAAATTTGCATAGTGCAGTTAGACTCCTTGCTTTATCTTGATATGATGATAATTCCCCAAATTGTGATAATTTTCTCTCCCATGTATTGACATGTCTCAAGTTTATTTTTATTAGTTTGATAGTGTAACCTTATTAGTTATTTGGAACTGTGAAGACTAACTATACTTACATAATTAAGTCAAAGTACTGGAACATTTTGTCTATAAAGGACCACCAGTGCACGATTGCATTGTCAAAGCTGATGCATAGTAGAACATGGCAAGACTTGACAGGAATTTTCAGTGGGACAGTTGTTGAATGTACGTACTGTAATATTACCATCAGTAGGCTGCAAAATATTGGTGAAAACAGCAGAGTAGGTCTTTAATTTGATTAGCTCGCAATGCCAAGGGAATTCCTGTTCATTGTTCTGAAATATACTGCAGTAGTTGGTTTTTATTTGCCTTTTTTTGCTTTTTGAAACACGTTCAGTATCAGTTTTGTATCCCATTCCAAGTAATTTCTCATCACGGTTTGACAATGCATATCTGATAGAAAATATTGTTTAGTTGTTGGCATGGCAGTTCTCTAGCCTTTTTAAAGTCTGCATGGCAGCTTTATTTAATAGTTTTTTCTTTTCAGTTTCGTCTTATATTTGTCTGGCTTAATTTAGAAATATAATATATGTAGTTTAATTTATAAAATATTTAATTATAATGGACTGTTACTTTTAAGTAAAGATACATACATGAATATGAAAAACCTATGAAAAATTATATATATGTACAGCATTGCTCGTGTGTGATTACTTACAGAATTTGCAGTTGGGGGAACTACATCTGATTGTACCTAACTTTTGCCTGGCTAATGTGAAACATCATTACCAACAAATTTTTTGAACCCTTTCATGCAGTCTACTTCCAGTTCATTCTAGTTATTTAGCACTTTTATGTTAAAGACATCTTTTCTGATTCATTTTAGTGTGACTAATTTGGGTGGGTGATTTATAAATGTGTGTAGCCTCTCCTCACTTAGTGATGTACTCATTTACTGATGACTCGGCCTTACGGCGGGCTCTCTGACCATTATGCATACCTAAATCATGTATATTAGAGCTGATTTCCTCTATTCTGTTTTTTTTTTTTTTTTTTTCTCAACAAGTCGGCCGTCTCCCACCGAGGCAGGGTGACCCAAAAAAAAGAAAGAAAATCCCCAAAAAGAAAATACTTTCATCATCATTCAACACTTTCACCACACTCACACATTATCACTGTTTTTGCAGAGGTGCTCAGAATACAACAGTCTAGAAGCATACACACATAAAGATACACAACATATCCCTCCAAACTGCCAATATCCCAAACCCCTCCTTTAAAGTGCAGGCATTGTACTTCCCATTTCCAGGACTCAAGTCCGACTATGTGAAAATAACCGGTTTCCCTGAATCCCTTCACTAAATATTACCCTGCTCACACTCCAACAGATCGTCAGGTCCCAAGTACCATTCGTCTCCATTCACTCCTATCTAACACGCTCACGCACGCTTGCTGGAAGTCCAAGCCCCTTACCCACAAAACCTCCTTTACCCCCTCTCTCCAACCCTTTCGAGGACGACCCCTACCCCGCCTTCCTTCCCCTATAGATTTATATGCTTTCCATGTCATTCTACTTTGATCCATTCTCTCTAAATGACCAAACCACCTCAACAACCCCTCTTCTGCCCTCTGACTAATACTTTTATTAACTCCACACCTTCTCCTAATTTCCACACTCCGAATTTTCTGCATAATATTTACACCACACATTGCCCTTAAACAGGACATCTCCACTGCCTCCAACCGTCTCCTCGCTGCTGCATTTACCACCCAAGCTTCACACCCATATAAGTGTTGGTACTACTATACTTTCATACATTCCCTTCTTTGCCTCCATAGATAACGTTTTTTGACTCCACATATACCTCAACGCACCACTCACCTTTTTTCCCTCATCAATTCTATGATTAACCTCATCCTTCATAAATCCATCCGCCGACACATCAACTCCAAGTATCTGAAAACATTCACTTCTTCCATACTCCTCCTCCCCAATTTGATATCCAATTTTTCTTTATCTAAATCATTTGACACCCTCATCACCTTACTCTTTTTCTATGTTCACTTTCAACTTTCTACCTTTACACACATTCCCAAACTCATCCACTAACCTTTGCAATTTTTCTTTAGAGTCTCCCATAAGCACAGTATCATCAGCAAAAAGTAACTGTGTCAATTCCCATTTTGAATTTGATTCCCCATAATTTAATCCCACCCCTCTCCCAAACACCCTAGCATTTACTTCCTTTACAACCCCATCTATAAATATATTTAAACAACCATGGTGACATTACACATCCCTGTCTAAGACCTACTTTTACCGGGAAGTAGTCTCCCTCTCTTCTACACACCCTAACCTGAGCCTCACTATCCTCATAAAAACTCTTTACAGCATTTAATAACTTACCACCTATTCCATATACTTGCAACATCTGCCACATTGCTCCTCTATCCACTCTATCATATGCCTTTTCTAAATCCATAAATGCAATAAAAACTTCCCTATCTTTATCTAAATACTGTTCACATATATGCTTCAATGTAAACACCTGATCTACACATCCCCTACCCACTCTAAAACCTCCTTGCTCATCCGCAATCCTACATTCTGTCTTACCTCTAATTCTTTCAATTATAACCCTACCGTACACTTTTCCTGGTATACTCAATAAGCTTATTCCTCTATAATTTTTACAGTCTCTTTTGTCCCCTTTCCCTTTATATAAAGGGACTATACATGCTCTCTGCCAATCCCTAGGTACCTTCCCCTCTTTCATACATTTATTAAACAAAAGTACCAACCACTCCAACACTATATCCCATCAGTTCCAGCTGCTTTACCCCCTTTCATTCTACGTAATGCCTCACGTACCTCCACCACACTTACATTCTGCTCTTCTTAACTCCTAAATGATGGTATACCTCCCTGGCCAGTGCATGAAATTACCACCTCCCTTTCTTCCTTAACATTTAAAAGTTCCTCAAAATATTCTCGCCATCTACCTAATACCTCCCTCTCCCCATCTACTAACTCCCCTACTCTGTTTTTAACTGACAAATCCATACTTTCCCTATGCTTTCTTAACTTGTTTAACTCCCTCCAAAATTTTTTCTTATTTTCTTATTTCATTCTGTTTATTACAATATATAGTACACTACTGTATAAGCATTTGAAAATACAGTATACTAAAAACATAAATAGTGCAATGGTGGCATTAAAACAATATCAAAGATGCTTGACACAAACCCACTACCATTATAGTATGCTCCATGCTTAGCGATGAATTCATTACTGACATGGTCGTAGGAATGGAACTCCGTTGTTAAGTGAGGAGAGGCTGTAATCTTGTGTCATCCGAGAGCAGCAGTGCCTTGTGTCATTATCCAAGAGCAACAATGCCTTGTCATTATCCAAGAGCAACAATGCCTTGTCATTATCCTAGAGCAGCAAAGACTTTTGAGGAATATCATCATCAGTGGTATTTTTTCAAGAGCTGGGATATAAAAGAAAAACCACATATAAACATATGCACAGTTGGATTTGAATGCCTTCATAACAGTTGGCATTTCAGAGTGTTACACTAACATGGGCTTCAATATCAAATCTCACATTGTACTACCACCCAGGTTGTGTGTATGTTAGGTCTTAGCTTCCTTTGTCCCTGGAGTATTTATCTCGTAAGAAATGTTTGTAAGTTCTTGATAGCACCTGCATCCAATATAACAATAATATCTTTATTTCTACAAGTACCTATACAAGGTATACAGACCATACCTGGAGTTTACCTGGAGAGAGTTCCAGGGGTCAACGCCCCCGCGGCTCGATCTGTGACCAGGCCTCCTGGTGGATCAGAGCCTGATCAACCAGGCTAATATCAGTAACATACTGCTATTACTTGGAGTACACCTGGAGAGGGTTTTGGGGGTCAGCGCCCCTGGAGCCCATTCTGAGACCGCTTGTTATGCAGAAAATTTCAGGCAGATTAGGTCAGTGTTGTCCCAGGATGTGACCCACACCAGTCGACTAACGCCCAGGTACCCATTTTACTGATGGGGAACATAGACAACCAGTGTAAGGAAACGTGCCCAGTGTTTCTACCCTCGCCGGGAATCAAACCTGGACCACACCACATGAAGCGAGAACTTTAGCCACCAGGCCACAGGGCCTAGTGGCCTGGTTCATTCTCGTCTCTATAGATACGTCTTGCATTGTGTAGCCTTTTTCTTAAGATTTTCCTCAGAGCATTCAGGTGGGCCTGACTTACCAGGTGCATATATTACATTTCCAAAGATGCGATTCTTTTGGGGGATTCTGAAGAGAAGTTGCAGAGGTTGGTAAATGAATTTGGGATGGCATGTAAGAGAAGGAAATTAATAGTGAACATAGGAAAGCACAAGATGATGAGAGCAATTAAAGTTTAGGTAATGAAAGATTGAATATTAGATTGGAAGGAGGGGCTATGGAGTAAATTAATTATCTTTTTTAACAACGCATTGGCCATTTCCTGCCAGGGCAGGGTGAATTGAAAAAGAAGAAACACTTTCATCATCATTCACTCCATCACTGTCTCGCCAGAAGCTTGAAGACACTGTAGTTCAAAAACTGCAACGTATCTCCACTCATCCTTTAGACCACAGGCACTGTACTTCCCACTTCCAGGACTCAAGGAAGAAGTGATTGTGTTCAGGTATTTGGGAGTGGACTTGTCGGCAGATGGTAATATGAAAGACGAGGTGAACCATAGAATTGATGAAGGGAAAAAGGTGGGTGGAGCATTGAGGCATTTGTGGAGAGAAAGAACATTACCCATGGAGGCAGAAAGGTAGGAGAACATAATAGTACCAACACTTATATGGGTGTGACGCTTGGGTTGTGAATGTTGCAGCAAGGAGGAGGCTGGAGGCATTGGAGATGTTTTGTCTGAGGTCAATGTGTGGTGTAAATATTATGTAGAGAATTTGTAGCCTGAAGATTAAGAGGTGTAGAATTTCTCTAAGTATTATCCAGAGGGATGAGGAGAGTTATTGAAGTGGTTTGGACATTTAGAGAGGATGGAGCACAATAGGATGACTTGGAGGGTATGTAAATCTATAGTGGAAGGAAGGCAAGGTAGGGATCACCCTAGGAAAGGATGGATGTGGGGGGTAAAGGAGGTTTTGTGAGAGAGAGGCTTGGACATCTAGCAGGCGTGTGTGAATGTGTTAGGTAGGAGTGGAGGCAAATGGTTCTGGGGACCTGATGAGTTGTTCGGGTGTGAGCAAGGTAACATTTTGTGAAGGGATTCATGGAAACTGGTTAACTTGACTTGAGTTCTGGAGGTGGGAAGTACAGTGCCTTCACTCTGAAGAAGGGGTTGGGATATTTGCAGTTTGGAGGTGCATTTGAACTGTGGTATCTATGCACCTCTGGAAAGACAGTGATTGAGCGAATAATGTTGAAAATGTTTCTCTTTTGGGTCACCCTGCCTCAGTGAGAAATGGCCTGTGTGTTAAAAACATGCGTGCGCATGTATGTATTCATTCATTTTGATGAAAATAGACTTTTTGATGAAAATAGACTTTGCTGCCTCCTGTGAAGTATGCTTCAGTATACCTCATATTCTACTTTATATGCACAGAATGTACCTAACTTGTATGACAAATAAAGATGTAATCAGTTGGTTAATGCAGTATTGTGTATTTTGTAAACTCTCTTTTTGTAGAGATAAAGCTTTGGAATATTTAAAGATTAAAATTAAATTTCATTAATACTGTACATCTATCATATGGTGTTATTGTACATCTCACATATGATGATGATGTACATCTACCATATGGTGTTGTACATCTACCATATGGTGTTGTTGTACATCTGCCATACGGTGTTGTTGTACATCTACCATATGGTGTTGTTGTATATCTACCATATGGTGTTGTATATCTACCATATGGTGTTGTTGTATATCTACCATATGGTGTTGTTGTATATCTACCATATGGTGTTGTTGTATATCTACCATATGGTGGTGGTGTACATCTGTCATATTGTTATAGTATATCTATCATATGATGATATTGTTTCATAAATGTCACTTCATTACTCATTTGGACTCTCCACTACACACTTAGGTGTTATAATATTTTCTTGCAAATTCTCAAGTAACCCGGTTCTTGACTTGCCCACAGCATCGGGGCTGGGGTGTGGAGACTGCATCTGAGCGCTTGGCAGAAATTTACAGCAAGCAAGCAGAGCTGTGGGAGCAGGTATCTCGTCGATCATCCCTCCAGGCGCTCTCTTTGGCGTCGGCTTCCCCAAGGTTAGTCATTCTCTGTTGCTCACTAACGTGAGCCTTCCTACAAATGAGCAAGAATATTTTTTTTTATTTCTTAACCCATTGAGGGTCCGATCCATAGTTCTATGGCTATGAAGCCAGGGTCCAAGCTGTAGTTCCATGCCATGAGCTCAGCTCACTCACATAAGGTGTGAGCAGTAAATTTGGGCTTAGATATGAGAGAATGCATCTGTGTGGTAAGTGTGCACTATATAAAACAAATCCTGCAGCATGCAGTGCATAATGAGAAAAAAGAGACTTTTTTAATTCCAACAGTGACTCTGCGCTGTATTTTCGTATGTGTTTTTACAATTGTATTTGCAGTTTCTTGGTCTCGTTTGATGGAATGGAAGATATATACGTATACAGTGGACCCTCGGCTAACGCCTTTAACTGATTTAGCCTTTAACCAAATTAATTTTCCCCATAAGAAATAATGGAAATCCAATTAATCCGTTCCTGACACCCAAAAGTATTAAACAAAATAACTTTTTTACATGAAATATACATTTCCCTACACAGAGAACAATGATACATGAAGAATAAAACAACAACATCACACTTACCTTTATTGTGGACTTGTTGATGAGTGATGAGACGGGAGGAGGGCAGAGAAAGGAGATGTTCTATTGTTTGGAAGGGGAATCCCCTTCCATAAAGACTTCAGGTAACAAGTCCTTTTCTGGCTTGTGTCCTGGGAATGCCTTTTCCTCCTGAGTAATGTAGGTCCTGTTTGGCATTTTCTTCCTAAACAGGCCTGTTTCATCACAATTGAACACTTGTTGGGGTTTTAATTTTTCAGCCTCTTTGTACCCCTTAAAGTCCTGCACATATTTTTCGGCCGCTTTTTTGTTAGAACTGGCAGCCTCACCGTGCTTTATCATACCATACCACCATCACAACCACTACCACCCTCTACCACCACCACTACAACTCTCTACCACCATCACTACCACCATCACAAACACTACCACCCTCTATCACCACTACTTTCGTATTTTTCTGCAAACTTTTTCTTAAATTATTTTTTTTATTTATTTTTTTATTTATTTATTTTTTATTTGGACATGATACATAGTTGTACAAAGAAATATAGTGACTGGGTGCACATGCCAAAAGCCCCTTGTATGCAGAGCATTATGGGCAAGCTTAAAATTAACTTAAGATTAACTAAGCAATGGTATATACAGTTCAATTAAGTTTATTAAGTCACAGGTACACACAAGTGTGTCTCGCATTCTTTACCATAGGGCTGGCACTAGAAGCTTTCTTGGGGCTCATGGTAGCTTATTTAGCAGTTACAAGCATTAAAAACAATGGAATAATACAAAATATATCGCATGTACGCTCGGAATCGTCCTCACTGGCTTTGTAAACAATGGCACACTGGCTGGTACACGGAGTGAGTGGCCGAGCCTGCTCAGGGTGCTGTGCCGACACGTTTGGGACGAAAGCTCTTAACCGAGGTTTTTGGTATTAGCTGAGCCAATTTTTTTTATGCCAAAGCAAGGTGTTAGCAAATTTGACATTAGGCGATGCAGGCGTTAGCTGAGGGTCCACTGTATTACAGAAATAGATATGATTTTGATTGGTTTTAGTACTGAAAATGGCTTGAAACTTGAGCTCAAAGTAGCAGAAATGTTCGATTTTTGCCGATGTTGAAGAGTAAACAAGTGACATCATGCGTCAAATACACGTCAGCTGGCGGATGTAATGCACTGATATTATTTATATAATTATTACATTATTGCATAACAGTAAATCTTCTACTTTTTGGTGTGAATTAAAATTCATTATGTGAATAAAAAATCAAAGTGGAATTCATTTGTAAAGCCTGGAAATGTAACTGATAAACAGAGGAAATGTTATTTTAGTGCCAGGAATATCTGCATTGTTTATTCTGGATCCTATTTTGAAACTGGAATATTTTGAACTTTGTGTGAAGTTGGCCAAATTGCCTATTTCTGATCCCTTTATTGGGTAGTTGAAATAGTTGATTGGGCGATTTCTTGTGCTCAGTCGATAAAATAGAATACTAGAGAAATAGTTAAGAATTTGGTCGAATGGAATAATGTAATTGGCCTAAAATGAGAGTCAAAGTGGGCAAAATCGCCGATGCCTAAATATCTCTGATGCAGCAAAATTCATAAGAGTGTAATTTCGTCAGTTTTCCATCAAATTTTGTACTTTTTGTTTTATTACCTTCAGAAAAAGATTCTCTACCATTTCATAAGAAAAAATAAAAGTTTTTTTTTTTTTTTTTTGAAAATTCTTGGACCCTGTGGACAAGTTTCAGATCACGGATCTGGACCCTGAAAGGGTTAATATGTTGTATGTTACTGAAGGAGGTGAATAGATAAAAGCTATTAATTAAAGATAAAGTATATTTTCACAGTTAGAAAAATAGTAATTATTGAAAGATATTTGTACATACAGTAAACCCTTGATGTGATGGACTAATAGGAGGTGTCTGTTTTGTCAAAATAATGTTAAAAATAATAGTTTACTAAAGTACTCTGCATACCTATTATAGTACTGTATGCACAGTTTACCTATATACTGTAATAAACATTGAGAATAAAGGAGTTAAAAGTATAATTTAACCAATGGATTTTCCCTGTACAGTGGACCCTCGCATAACGCTATTAATCCATTCCTGAGAGCTCAATGTTATGTGAAATTATCGTTATGTGAATTAATTTTCCCCATAAGAAATAATGGAAATCAAATTAATCCATTCCTGACACCCAAAAGTATGAACAAAAATTTTTTTTACCACATGAAATATTCATTTTAATACACAAACTGAAGAAGACATGCAGAGTTATATGACACTTACCTTTATTGAAGATCTGGTGATCATTGATGGGATAGGAGGGAAGAGTGTTGATGGTCTTAGTGTTTAGAAGGGGAATCCCCTTCCATTACGACTTGGTGTCAAGTAATTTTCCACGGTTACTTCCCTTCTTCTTTTAATGCCACTAGGACCAGCTTCAGAGTCACTGGACTTCTGTCGCACAACATATCTGTCCATAGAGGTCTGTACTTCTCGTTCCTTTATGACTTTCCTAAAGTGGTTCACAACACTGTCCGTGTACAGGTTGCCAACATGGCTTGCAACATCCGTCTGAGGGTGATTTTCATCCATAAAGGTTTGCACTTTAAGCCACATTGCACAGATTTCCTTAATCTTTGAAGTAGGCAACTTCTTCAATTTCTCTCTCCCCTCCTCCGAAGCAGTTTCCTCAGGTGTGGCCTCTTGCTGTTGAAGATGATCTAGCAGCTCATCAGTGGTTAGTTCTTCATTGTCCTCCTCCACCAACTCTTCCACATCCTCCCCACTAACCTCCAACCCCAAGGACTACCCCAATGCCACAATGGATTCCTCAACTGGCATAGGATTCCCAGGGTTAGCCTCAAATCCTTCAAAATCCCCTTGGTCTACACATTCTGGCCACAGTTTCTTCCAAGCAGAGTTCAAGGTTCTCTTAGTCACTCCTTCCCAAGCCTTACCTATAAGGTTTACACAATTGAGGATATTAAAGTGATCTCTCCAAAACTCTCTTAGTCAGTTGAATTTCTGAGGTCGCTACAAAGCACCTTTCAAACAGAGCTTTTGTGTACAGTTTTTTGAAGTTTGCAATAACCTGCTGGTCCATGGGCTGCAGGAGAGGAGTGGTATTAGGAGGCAAAAACTTGACTTTAATGGAGCTCATGTCCCCACAAAGTCGCTCTGCCAAGTCTGTAGGATGACCAGGGGCATTGTCTAACACCAGGAGGCACTTAAGGTCTAATTTCTTTTCAGTTAGGTAATTTTTCACATTGGGGGCAAATGCTTGGTGTAACCAGTCATAGAAAAAGTCCCTAGTGACCCATGCCTTACTGTTTGCCCTCCACAGCACACACAAATTAGCCTTGAGGATATTCTTTTGCCTGAACACACTGGGAGTTTCAGAGTGATACACTAATAAAGGCTTCACTTTGCAATCACCACTAGCATTGGCACACATTAACAGAGTAAGCCTGTCTTTCATAGGCTTATGTCCTGGGAGTGCCTTTTCCTCCTCAGTAATGTAGGTCCTGCTTGGCATTTTCTTCCAAAACAGGCCTGTTTCGTCACAATTAAACACTTGTTCAGGTTTCAGTCCTTCACTGTCTATGTACTCCTTGAATTCCTGCTCATATTTTTCAGCTGCTTTGTGGTCCGAACTGGCAGCCTCACCATGCCTTATCACACTATGTATGCCACTATGCTTCGTAAATCTCTCAAACCAACCTTTGCTGGCCTTAAATTCTCTCACATCTTCACTAGTTGCAGGCATTTTTCTAATTAAATCCTGATGCAACTTCCTAGCCTTTTCACTTATGATCGCTTGAGAGATGCTGTCTCCTGCTATCTGTTTTTCGTTTATCCACACCAATAAGAGTCTCTCAACATCTTCTATCACTTGCGATCTCTGTTTCGAAAACACAGTTGCACCTTTGGCAAGAACAACTTCCTTGATTGCCGTTTTCTTGGACACAATAGCAGCGATGGTTGATTGGGGTTTACTATACAACCTGGCCAGCTCGGAGACACGTACTCCACTTTCATACTTAGCAATGATCTCTTTCTTCATCTCTATAGTAATTCTCACCCTTATTCCTGTAGGGTTGGCACTAGAAGCTTTCTTGGGGCCCATGGTCACTTATTTTGCAGATGAAATCACCAAAAACGCTGTAATAATACGAAATGTTCCGATTGTAGGCTTAGATGTTACTGCGGAGGCTGGCTTGTAAACAATGCCACTGGCGGAACATGTGAGGGTGGCTCAGGCCGCACATAGACGCGTCTCGAACGAATAGCGTTGAGCGAGTTTTTTAGCGCTATGCGAGGCAAAATTTTAGAGATAAAATGTATCGCTATGCGGATTTAACGTTATGTGATGCCAATGGTATGTGAGGGTCCACTGTACAGTGGACCCTAGTTTTTCGTGATTAATCTG